GTATTTCTTGCAAAATCCTGGTACAATCTCTCAACAAAGAATCACGTAGAATCTTTTTAATTTCGGAGTCATTGGTATTGTCAAAGGCGGTATCTCGAGGGGAATTTGAAATTTCCATCTTTAAGATACTAAGGAGAAAGCAGAATAAGAAAAACTTGTCGAAAGAGACTCAATTTATACTATCGCTGCCTATAATTACGTAACAGGAATACGTATCTGTTGTATTTGTTATAATCTTTTATGATGTCAAAATTTGGTAATAAAAAATATTCATGAGGATTAATCTCAAAAGAGGTTCTAGTGAAAATATGGTAAGTCAACCGCTATTTCCCATTTACATATCTAAACACCAAATTGGGTAGCGTTACCAGTTTTTTGGGGTAATTAAAGACTTGCTGTGCAATGATGTTTTTTTGAACTGAATTTGTAGCTAAAACTTTATTCAAAATTGGCAGATAATAATGTACGTGATTGATGAGATCAATAAACAGTTCCCACGAAAATTTTAGTTTTTCACATGCCGTCATACTTGGAGAAAAGTTAAATAAATTTGAATGGCTATGTATGTACGTATTATATATCCTGAAAACATTTAAATAATTCGGTATTTTGTCACTTTGCTCTGCAATTTTCAATTCTTAATAGAATCTCTGATAATGACACTCACCACCGAAAACTGTCACGTTATTGCCGACTTATGCATTGTTCCCGTTGGCAAAGATGTCAGCACTTCGAAGGTAATTATTATTTTTCTTTTCTTTTCTTTGATGCACAAGTTCTCACGCGTTACCTTATCGAAATTATTCTTCAATTTTAGTACATCATCGAAGTTCAAAATGTTTTACAAGAAACTGGGTGAGTAAATAATCAAATTTGGTTTTCTCGGATTTTCTCCTAAACCATTATTTTCTTTTCGAAATTGCATCACAAGGCTGAAAACCAATTTGCACGCTTGTGGCACCAACATTGGTTTGTTAATAAACATTTGAATCACGCGTACTCACCACTCTCTTAAGTTTACTCAACATCCAATTATGTATGAAAATCCGATAGAGGGTAAATTTGACCAAATTATGTCGGCTATTCAAAAATGTATCAACAAGGTCCATGAACTCGGAGTTGCTCGTATCGATACAACAATCCGCCTCCAGGTAAAGGAAAATTTCTAATTTATCCGAGTTTTTATATGGGAAGTTTCCGTCGTGAATAACAGTGGGCATCTATCTAGACGCGCACTGATAAATCTATGACGATTAAAGACAGGTTTGAAAATTTTGATAATTAAATGTGCTCGAGTCCATTATGGTCACAGCATTTAAATATTCTCTTCAAACAGCATCAACGCAGTGAATGAAGTCGTCCCTTCTAAACAGTAGAAAACATTCTCGATATTGAAACTATTCCTTTTCTTCTATGCATTACATATGCTTTCTTCCTGTCAAATCGTAATAATCTTATTGACTGAATTCATGCCTATATAAGATAATAAAAGTAGAAATATTTTACTGCATGCACTCGAGATTGATGGTCTATTACTACGAACAATTTATGGTTGCCACGTGATCTATTATTTGATATACTGTATTTCTTATATATTTTGGATTTTATCATAATTTTAAACTTGACAGGACAAGTATTTATCTATTTTTTATAAATCTTAAATATACTGTATATTTTTTTAATATGTAAAATATCAAAAAATATATTTTGTATCATAATTTAACATTAGCTTATTAAATTTAAATAACATATAAAGCTTTTTTTACTTTTCAATTAATTATTATAAAACACATATTATATAATATACAATAATTTATTGATAAATTGTAATATTTTTGAAACTTTAATAAATTATTAAATCTAAACAATCAATTAATAAATTTAATATTTAATATACAATTTATTTTTACTATAATAGATTTATCAAGCTGAAAAAATATCTTTATTATAATGAATACTTATTATAACATTATACAATATACAGTATAATAATAATAAATTAAATTTGTTTTATAATATTGCTTTGCTATAATAAGAAATCCAGTTTAACAAAGTTTATTAATAATAAAAATAAACTTTATTTATAATTTACTTATATTATAAAAAATATAGTTTAAGATATTCTTAATTAACTTTATTAAATAAAAAATTAAAATTTTATTGAAAATTTTTAAAATAAATAATTTTAAACTTTGTGTTTAATATTTTAATATGTATTTAAAATAAAAAAATTATTTTCCTTTTTAATACAAATTTATTTTTTATAAATAATTATATAAAACTATTTATAAATTACAATATAAACTTTAATTTAAAATTTTTTTAAATTTCTCTAAAATCAACTTTTATTATGAAAAAATTATTTTAAAAATTATTTTAAAAATTAAATAAATAAATAAAAAATAAATAATATTAATAAATAATATATAATTAAACTAATACTATTTAATTTAAGAAATATAATTTATATATTGATATAATAAAAAATATATAAATACCTATAGATTTATAGTGTAGTGGTTAACACTATATAGATTAGATCACAAGATATCAGTTCAATCCCAGATGAAGGTAGTTGAACTGAATTAAAAAATGATATCTGGAGTCATAACCTGTTAAGCCCTGTTTCCTATAAGAAGTTATTCACACACTGATCCAGTAGGATGTTGAGATTATAATTTTCAGAAAAGGTATCATGGTGTAATAATTATCCAATTGGTATTATAATAATTATCAGAAGTTGCAAAGTGTATGAGGTGCCTGCTTTTGACAAGTAGGTTTGGTGATCCTTCTCCTAATATTCAGCATCTTTCACACAAATCTCTGCCCTAGTCTTATCCAAATTTAGTAATAAACTGGTCTGGCGATACTTATCTCGAGAAGGCTTCTGGCTACAATTTCTGTTCCTTGCAATATGTAAATCAGTATTTAGGTAATAAGCATTAGTTATAAGTATCTTGAACATTCTTGGGTATCATTGAACAGGTAAGAAATTAAATAGTTAACCTAGCTACAGGTAGTGGTAAAGGGATTTATCTTCAATAGAGCAAGCAGTGATTATGTAACTTTATTCGCTATAGATATTACCTCTAGTACCTCCTTTCAACTTCATCTTAACTTCTTCCCAGTTAGAAATAAAGCTGTCCAATTACTAGTAAAAATGCATGCTACTGGTCCAACAAAGGATTACCTTTGTTCAATAAATTAGTTTCTATATCTAATATAATTAGGAACAAGCTATAGCAAATGTTGTTATTTGAAGCAATCCCAATAAGTGTTGAATATAATTGACAACTGATATGTTATAACATAGTTCTAGATAGTAATATCGAAAGATATACACTACATGGACAAAGTATTACATATCTTAAATTTATTATTATATAAAAATGTACATAATAACTTTATTTTTTTTTTTTTTACTGCAAATAAGTATAAAATGCGAGACTTTATTTACTAATTAATAGTACTGTTATTATATTAAGAATCCTACACCACCTCATTCGGTGGGAGTTAATCCTAGCCTATTGCATGTATAACTTTTAATGCTA